GGTGTCTGTTGTGGGGAGGGGAAGGGAAAGGAGTTTGTAAGCTGCTCTGAGACTCCTTCGGGTAGTTAAGGGTGGGGTATAAATCTAATCTCCTCCTCCTCCTTTTCTTCTACTACTACAACTAGTACTACTACTACTATCACCAGTTGCCCCCCATTTCCCTCCCACCACCCAGCTGAGGGGCAGTGGGGAGCGGCAGTGGGGGCGGGAGGTTTCCTGCCACTAGCAGGCAGCTGGCAACCCTGGCATAAATCCCCGATTCCATGACTAGGCAGGCAGAAAAAAACATTTTCTTGTCTATTATATATATCTGGGGTGTCAAACTCGTTTGTTATGAGGGCCGGATCTGACATAAATGAGACCTTGTTGGGCCGGGCCATGCATGTCATAAAACGTAATGCCAGGTAGCGGAGATATAAACTTTATAAAGGACACAAACACAAAGATTTTCTTTTACTTAAAATAAAAAAACATGCTTAGAAGATTAACTCTGTAAGCAGCAAACCTACTTTTGGTTTATTGACATTCAGCACAGAAATCTCATGCTCAGAGTTCTGAGTCTAGGACACAGGTTAGAACATGAAATGGCTGAGTGGTTAAGAGAGTCTGGTGAAGCATGCTATGATGCAGCAGCAGCAGAACTGGAAGTAGGAGACCGCCAGCTCCACTGCGGGCCTAATAGAAGCCCTCCGGGGGCCTCATCCGGCCCCCGGGCCACATGTTTGACACCCCTGATATATAATGAATAATTAAGGTCTTCTGGTTGTAGAATGTGGGTTATCTGGATACAGAATCGGATTTGTTGTTTGTTGTTTCCCTGCAGCACACACACAGCCTTCACGTTTCCCGATTTCCTTACACCTTCTTTCCTTCCTTCTTTCCCAGATCAACTTCTTGCTTTTCATTGGGATCATTATCATATTGGTACAGAAGCTCCAGTCGCCCGATATCGGAGGCAACGAGTCCAGCATTTACTTGTAAGTACAGCCTGAAAGTATCCAAAGAGCCATTGTTGGTTTGAGCTCTGACATACACATAGGAAAAACAAACCCCGGGGCTCGGGAGTTTTGGCTTCCGGTTATTCTCCGTACCAAATGAAGCCAAAAGTCAAGTGAATGCGGCATCTCCGGAAAACGGGCGCCACATTTTCAGCCTTCAATGAGGCAGGTCACATTTCTAAATGGATTTCAAAAACTTGGGATATTTGTGGTGCTTTCAAAAGGGGGCACTGAACAGTGGAGTTTGGGGAGGAGAGCCGTTTTAATCGTTTTGGAACAAAAGGATAAATAGACGTAAATCTGCCACTCAAAAACCAGCAGGGCAGCATTTTAATCATCCAGGATTTTCCATTGTGGACCTAGGAGCGGCAGTCCTCTGACAAAGAAGGCTGAAGGGGAAACCGCAATGCGAAACTGCTGTACTTGCGTTAATTCGCAAGTTCAGAGCAATGGACCCCCCAGGGCTAAACACAGACGTAGGATTCTGAGCTCACTCCAGATGCTAATTTTCCACCCTGAAGCATTTCTCCTTTGCCGATTCCATTTTGCATGGTACCTTTACATCCCAAACGCCCTTCTTTCCAACACCCTTCCCACCTTCTGACGGGGATATATGGACTGAGAGATCCCCATTATGACTTGTATCTGATGAAGGGAGCTTTGAGTCCCAAAAGCTCATGTCCTGGAAATCTGGTTAGACGTTAAGTTGTTACTGGACTCAAATCTAGAAGTTTCAGTAGGATGCCCATAGAGTGGGATGCTGTCATGCCTCGAGGGCCAAGGGGCGCCACCTCAGTGGGGTATCCCATCTTCCTGTAACCTCACCCTGGACAGTCAGACACTGAGGGAGCAGCTGAGGTCCTCATTTAACCTCTAGGGACAAAGGGGGAGGGGGACTTAACCTTGAAACCTGGGAACCACAACCTAAAGAGGTAAGTCAAACAGAATAGAGAGCCAACAATAAAAACTGAATGCATATAATATAAAAAGATAAGTGTATTTATTAGCAAAGAATTAAAGCGCATATACGGGCCCAATCGCACCTCATGTAAAAATACCAAAATCTTACACACAAGGGCCAGTGGACTTGATGTGACGCGTTTCGGCCTGTATAGGCCCCCTTCAGAGGCCAAGCACAATGAGGAACAAATTGGCTTATATCATAATGCAGTACAATTATATAATTAATGCGACATGGACACAAGATGGACCAGAAAAAGAATTGTTCCAAAGTGAAACCACTAGGCACAGAATAAAAGTATAAATGAGGCCTCCAAAGATGCAATCACATGCCAAAGGATATTTCACGGATAATAATTTCTGGTCCGGGAAGTGCCTTCCAGTGATGGTTTAGCCAAAGTGTCCTCGGTAAAATTGTCCCTTTAGCAAAGAGCGGTGCCAATAGACTAATGTGCTGAAGCTTCTGGCCTTACCAGCTGTGTCAAGGCCAGGTATCCCACATGACAATTGTTGCCCACACTTGCTTCAGCGGTTGTTGTTGTTCAGTCGCACAGTCGAGTCCGACGCTTCGCGACCCCATGGACCAGATCACGCCAGGCCTTCCTGTCTTCCGCTGTCCTCTGAAGTTTGCTCAGTTTCATGTTCGTTGCATCAATGACACTGTCTAACCATCTCATCCTTCAGCGGAGGCACTCCCATACATGGGTCGCTGCCTAAGGTCCTCTAGTAACTGCCTCGGGTCACCTTCAGGGTTAGGCTCTGAGATAGCTGGGCCTACAAATGTCCTTGGGGGTGTAGCGGGTCATTCTCTTGGCCAGGAACACCACCCCTCTTGCCTGGAGACAGCCTGGACACCCCACACTGGAGATGTACAAGGCCTCCTGGCTGCCCCACTTCCTACAAATCCCAGTAGGCTGCTTCTCTCCTAGGGTTACGAGCTCTTCGCCGGACGCCCGCAGAGACTTACTCCTGTGGGGGTGGTCGAAAGGATACAGGGCAATGCAGCTCGATTTGAGTCCAGTAGCCCCTTAGACACCAACAAGATTTGGGGGGGTAACAGCTTTCGAGAGTCAAAGCTTCCATTCTCAGATATCTGACAAAGGGAATATTGACTTTCAAAAATATATACCCCAAAAAAAACTCTAAGGGGACTCTAAGGGGCTACTGGACTCAAATCGAGCCGTTCTCCTGCAGACCAACATGACTCCCCTCTGAAACTGTGCAATGCAGGACATCACTTCTGGACCAAAAACCGGAAACAATGTCTCGGCATCACGGTGACACACTAAGAATCGAACAAATCTCTCTGGTTTACCATAGAGATTTGTTGGATTCCTAGAGCGTCAGTAAAATGCGGTAATATCACTTCCTGGTTTCCCCCCTGGCTGGAA